GTATTTCGACGGTACAATCGAAATCTCAATCGGATAAAATTCAGTGATTGTAGAACTTCGAATCAAGAATTGCTATGAAATATGTGTACCACTTTCTCTATCCACGAAAACATGACCAATCCGTTCAAGAAAAAACGTGCAAAAACTGTCAAAAAACGGCAGTTTTTTGCGCACAAAATCGGGTTTTAAAACCGGGCCAAAAACCGGGTTTATAATCGAAAATTCGGATTTCTGATGCATTTTCCATAAACCAGCCAGGGGCTCTGCCCCTTGGACCCCGCCACCGGGGGCGCTGCCCCCAGACCCCCGTCATTTAGGGGCTTCGCCCCTTAAATCAAAATAAACTCAAACAAGTGTGCACTCCGCACCTTCCTTACTCGTTCGATATTTATCATGATTACATTGGTCAACAAATTAATCCCATTACACTTAAATGATATTGGTGATACTAATCACCAACATTATATGGGTTAGGTTTTGCATGTTACACTTGAATTTGCAAATAGAGAAATACGAGCTGTCAGTACTGTGTTTTGTTTTTTCTTGTTTCTTTTAACTTATTTTACTTGCACTTGTCCCTAATGTCTTTTCTGTGTACTGTACCTGGTCACCTGATGCATGTTTGGACACACTCTCACTTATGGTCTGTTTTGTTGTTCCTTTTAATTTTTGTTTTGAAAGCCATGGTCTTCATGAAAATAGACAATCTGCCCCTTGGTAGAGGAAAGATCTGCTTACATCCTACCCCAAAACTCTACTTACCGGTGAGATCTACTAGATTAGTTTGGTTTGGTTTGGTTGGTTTAGAAATATGAGAAAGAATAGTGTATCAAGAGAGAAAATATAGATGCTCCATCTATAAATCTAGGAAGAGACATAGAGGGTTGTATTGGAGACAAAAAATAATTACACAGCTACAGATACTTTTCAAGAGAAAAACTTATATATAGTTTCTAAAGCGAGAGAAATGAATTTTCCCAAAATAAAAAATGTTTACACACACACATATATATGTAGGAGAGAGAGAGAGATTAGTTTAGATGAATAAAGTTTGGATGTGTGTTTGTGTATTTGTTTTCACATTTTATGTTGAATATGTGACAGTATAAATGATTAGATGTTCTAGCCTTCTAGAGAGACAAAACATACATATAACCACTTGTCAGGGTAAATATGTAGTTCCAAAAAAAATATGTAGTTTTTAGAAAGATTACATATGTTTTTAGGATTGAAGGATTACCCCTCAAGAAATTTACCATAATCAACTGAAGGCAGTATTTAAAAAAATCAAGGGCATCAGGAAATAATTCTTTGCTAACCTTTCTTTTCACTTCATCCAATAGCTGTTTGAGATGATGTGGTGGGCAAGAGATGGCTATGGCTTCCACTAGCAAAAAGATGGTGCTTCAAACTTGCTTCCATTTAGGACCTGTGGTGCCAAGATATCATGTCAACTCGGGTTAGATAAATTAGATTCCAGGGTTAGATAAATTAGATTCCAGATAATATCCTTCTTTTAATTAAGAAATGTGGTCCGCATGAAAATAGACTAATAACCAAGATGGAAGAATCAGGCCATATGACACAAGTAGAAACTTGTGCATGTTTGCAGCAATACACGCACTAGCAGATATGAAAACAAAAGGAAAACCCAAAACAACTGGATATGAACACGAGTTCAGTGGCCATACATTTAAATCAATCTCCTCTGTTTTCTATACACCATTTTGTAGGTGCCATATTCATTACTTGTCATCCCAAGCAAATAGGACCAAAAGCCGCGTCTTCCTACCATATAAATGTACCCACAAATGAAATTAGTAATGCACCCACAAGTTTTATTTACTTCCCTCTGGGGTGCTATTAGTACAAAATACAAACTACACATAATAACACCAAGCCTTTTCCCTTCATGGCAGTAGATGCAGCCCTCTTTTGGCCTCCATTTTCAATCACATGTATGTGTTATGCATTACCAATCTTATGATTGTAGATCTGTAGTAGGATATATTTATTCGCTTCAAGAAAATGAGTACATTTCAAACTGAAATCAAACTCACTAGATTTCTGTAACATCCTAGGCCAACCGTATCAGATATTGTCCATTTTTTCCACACCTGGACTCGCGGTTTTAAAACGCCTTTGATAGAGGAGGTATCAAGCCCCTTATAAGGCAACCTTTGTTCCTCTCCCCATCCAATGTGGGATCTTACAGTCCACTCCCCTTGGGAGCCCAGCGTCCTCCCTGGCACACCAATCTGATTCCCGGCTTTGATACTATCTGTAACATCCTAGGCCTACCGTATCAGATTATGCCTTTTCTCAACWTTAGTGTGAAACCTGCCTAAGGAAAGAAACTTGAGGTAAGAACATAGATAAGAAAAGAATGTGAAGTCTAAATATGTTACCTATAAAAGTAGAAGATCAACTAGTATAAGATCAAGCTACGAAGTTGATCTTCTTATTCAAAACCCCAATTATGACATCCCTGCGTACTTAACACCAACCCCCGGAAAGCAGCCAGGAAGGAAGACTAGCTATCCCCCTTCTTCCATTCCAGCTTTTTTCAGATAAAGGGCTAATAGAGTTGATAAGCAACAAACTAAGTCAAGAGCTAATCAGGCTTCTATCTCTTCTCAGTTCTCCAGGGGGCAATAAGCTTGCGCTTGTTTAGAGGGATCATCATAAAGTGTGTCGTTCACGGTACATAAAATATTTCTTTCGACCATCTATCTCCAGATGCAAGCATTGATCTTGAATGGTGCAGTTATCATATCTCTTMGGAGGCACTACCTCCAGACCTTTAATATCCGTCTTTCTTCTAAAGAGGATGTATTGAACTCATAATTCGTTAGATACTTCTTACGGATGTCAACTATGTATTGTAAGTACACCAGATATTGTCTGATTTGTCTACACAACTAGACTCACGGTTTTAAAGCGTGTCTGATGAAGGAGGTATCAAGCCCCTTACAAGACAATTTTTGCTCCCTCCCAACCAATGTGGGATCTTACACTTTCCACTTCAAAAAATAGTTTCCAACAAAATTCAATAACTACATTATACGACATCAGTTACCACAGATAAAAAGGGGTGGATGTTATGTAACAAAAATACAGGTTGTTTTGAATTTGAAAGTCAAAGCTTAAGCCTTTCTTTGAAACAAAAGGTGTGCATCAGGAAAATCATCAAAGAGTGGATTGAACTGTAACGGGGCCCCAGTGTAGAGTGAAGCTGTAAGCATCTGCATATTAAACCAGTAGACAAATGGGAATCTTTCCTAATCAGATTCTGACATAAAACTGCATTTATTGGAGCATCTGCAATTGAGAGGTTTACAAAGCGAACTCATTTTGAAGGACCGCTTCTAAGCAAAAAGACCATTGGGAGGACGCTCACTTGGCAAACCGCTCCATGCAGATGGAGCTGTCCATGCCATTAATAATGTAGCCATTTGATTAATTTAATTATGTTTTATTTACTTAATTAATAAATTAATTTAACTAATATTTTAATTAAATAAAAATTAAAAGAAATAATTTAACTAATATCGCTTTTAATTATTGTCGTTTCTAAAAATATCGCTTTTATTTATTTTTGTCATAATTCGTTTTTAGTTACTGTAACTAATATCGCTTCTATTGAAGCTGATTTTTAGTTATTGTAACTTTTATTTATTGTCATAATTAGTTTTTTATTATTGAATTTTAATTATAATAAGTAATTTTAATTATTTTCTTTTAATTATAATAAGTAAATTTTAATCTTTGTAATTTTTGAAAGTTTTATGAAATGCACCGGAAAGAGAAAATTGATGTGGCAGATAAAGAAATCTGATGTGGCAAAGTCATGAACCTAAAGAAATATGATGTGGTAAAATCATGAACCTCCGATGCTCTTATAGCAAAATAAATGATTAAACTGATAACCAAACTAAATATATCCAATATATCTCACTCGAAAACGGGGTGTATAGGGCCTGGGAATAGGGAGGTTGTTTCCACGAAGACTCGGGCTTGCGAAAAAGGTCTGGGGAGACGAGAGGGACAAAGAATATGTCAAAAAAAAATTATTTCTTTTCTAAGTTGCTAAAACAATTAAACTGATCTAGTAAAATTGATCCAGTTGCAGTCATAAAAATTTGAGCAGGAATAACAGCTTAACAGATGTCCAAAATGATAACTTTATATAACAGCACAGATAAAACCTCATATTCTATATAGTTAACCGAGTCTTTTGAACCTAGTGTTTAGGGGTTCAAGACTCAGGGCCCAAACACAAAAAGGGGGCTTTCGAACATGGGTCAGAAGTGAATTACGAGTCRGACCAATCTGCAAATCGGAATATGGATGAGATCAGAAAGGCCATCATTGGGATTGATTGCTCACACACAATTAGGTTAGGCAGGCTTGGGGAGGTGATCTGAATCGCTATCAATACGATGCGGGTAGGAAGAATGGTCACATTTAGCATGATTCGCAAAGCCAGATGTTTAGTAACAAATTATCAGTTACCCAAAACTGCATAAGCTTCGAAAGTAACATGTAGTCCTCTTGCAGAAATAAGAATAAACCCAGTACAGGCAAATGAGGAGTAAAAGATCATTAGTGCAACGAATCAATCCCACTGCAAAGGGCATCTCCATGAGTTATAATATGAGAAGTATCATATCCATGGACAAAAATAACAATCTCATGCTTGTAACACTTCATAAAATAGTCATCCGTTCACTGCCTAGCACAGCAAGAACTAATGTACATCGATACAAAGGGAAAAACAGAATATTATATATGCTTGGTTCCACTAACAATGCCCCCTCAAAGAGATTCAATTTGGCATATACTACACTTAAAAATAATAGTTATATAGTTATGAGTTAAGACGTGAAGCTTTTCCTTTGATACTGATTCTCCTATTTTACTGGCTATTATACTCCATCTGTGGTTCACAAAAAGAAGACGACGTGTTTATAGGCTTGCCCTCTTGCATGTTTATATTCACCCCACTGGACAAACCGCACCACTTTTTCCTCGTATTTATAAGGCGCTTCCCCTGATAACATCCTCCAAACCACCCTCGACTTCATATCATCTTCCTTGACTGGATCAGTTCTTCCTTTCAAATCTTTCAGCTTTTTGTAGGAATCAGGTACAATCGCCTAAATTTATCTTCTGACACTTAAAAACTTTGCTTCTTCTCCAAAGACAACCTTTCTTACAGAAGTCAACAAAGTGCATAGAGACCTTATATCCAAAATGGCATCAAACTCCCTCTATTCAAGTAGCTCCAGCTCCTCTTGGACGCCCCAGCAGAACAAATTATTTGAAAGAGCCCTTGCAGTGTATGATAGAGACACCCCTGATCGTTGGCAGAAAATTGCAAGGGCAGTGGGTGGCAAATCTGCAGAAGAAGTGAAGAGGCACTACGAAGTGCTCATTGAAGACCTTAGGCACATAGAGTCTGGCAATGTTCCTTTCCCCAACTACAGACGTTAGTCTGGATTAAATGCCAATTGCCAACCATGAAGGTAAAGCAATATTTTTATATAGTCAATTACTTACCAGCAAATTCGCTTTCACATATTGAAGTAAAAGATCTATTGATGCTTGATACATGTTTCACTCAAAGTAGTTTCTACAAATTACCTCCTTATGATCAACCTCTGAAGTTGCCATGGAGAAGGTGGTGACCAACCAAAGGGGGCATTGGAATAACATGATGGTCCATATATCATGGATTGTTGTCCAAATTCTCTTCAAAAGCTGTTTATCGTTCTTCATAAAACACTGTGCCAGGCCCCACTCATATCTTGCTACTTATCCTTTTTGTATATATTAAACCTATAATGCCACCTGGTATCTTAACTCTTCCTTCATGGCACATTGATGACATCGGTCCTATGCATCGTTGGTTCTAGTTCAAACATGTTCCCTACTCAGATACAAAATAAAAACCGCTTTTTTGCTTCTCTTCCGTTCTGACCAGACCAGTACTATTGCATTCCTTTGATGTACAATACTATTGGATTCGTTTATTTCAAACTATACTCTATCGATATCAGTCTAGTACTATTGCATTCCTTTGATGTACAATACTATTGGATTTGTTTATTTCAAACTATACTCTATCGATATCACCCACGAATATGAATAAAATCTATAACTGTCTGATCTTTTGTTCTTTTTACACAGGCTGGCTTATGATGTACGCATAAAGTTGAATTGCAGCTCATGGCATGATGATTGTCTGATCTTTTATCCCATCTCTCATACCCTCCCCCTCCCCCCTCTCTCATGTTCTCTGTCTGTCCGAGTCCAGTGTACTGAATTCCATTCGCAAGGGGGAACTAGTAATGTCAGTTGATTTCACATATTGTATGCATTGTTATTGATAAGTTTTATCAACACAAGTTATAATTCAAATGAAATGACTTCTTACAAATGAACCAGTATAGCTAAATATTGCAATCGCAGTGCGGAATTTCATGTAAGAAGCTCAAATTCGTATGTTTAATCGAAATCGAACTAGCTTAATTCATATGCATACGGCGTATTCAAAATCAGCGTTTTGTTGGCTAACCTGAAATTTGGGACGGGACTTGTTCATTTAAAAAGTTATAGAGGAAAATCGATTGCGCATGACGAATCATGCTTGTTCACGGACATGGGGGAGAAGGAGCAGAAATTCCCATTAAGGAAAACCAGCGCACGCCGTCAAGTTGCCAGGTGCAGTGTCTCGCTCACAGAAATCATTTTCACCGCTACATCTTCCGTTCCTACTTCTCCTCAGCTTTCCCCCAAAATTTGACTCTCTCTCCGATTATACTTCCGATTTCTCCAACGTTTGTTCCACTGATCTTGACATTGAGTGAAATCATAGCGTGCTAGAGGAAACGACGGCCACCAAGATGGTGGCTTTATTGGGACTAAACTTACCGGCGACGATGTGTCGGAGTTTGAAGAATTAATACTTGGAAATCGTGGAATGAATCATGAATGAATTAATCGTGGACAAATATGAGAATTAATCGTTGTACACAAAACTTATTATTTAGTGTAAGCTAAGGGTGTATGTAATTGTTTATAAAAATAACTTATTGATATATTTCGGTATGGTATCAGTAATAAATATTTTTGAGTATTTGGATAAATAATTTGTATTGATGTCAAACTGAAAATAAAAAGTTTTTAAAAAAGTTAAAGTATTCTGACTTATAATAAGTTGATAAGTATTTTTATAGAAAAAGTATAAATTATTTCAAATAAGTAATCTCAAACACCTCCTAAATTTTTAGTCCACGTACTTTGTTAAACAATTGTTATTTTTATATATACTTTTAAATTATGATTTTATCTTTATAATTTATTGTTGTAATCCTTATAATTTACAATTTCTTGTTGTCTTATTCTTATCGTTCACATTTCATTGTTATTTTTATCCCTCGGTGCTTAAAAGTAAAAGTTAGTCTTGAAGATCAAAAAAGCAATAAAATTCAAACCACAAGGATAAAAACTATAATTTCAAAACTATAAGGAGTAAAGTTGCAACTTTTAACAAACAGGAAGGGAAAAAAACGTGATTTCCTCTATTATTTAATACATTAAATTTTAAAAAAAAAAGGAGAGAATTTATGTTCTAGATAGATCAGATGCGATAAGGTTGTAGAATATTTTGTTATTTGTTTGAGTGATTGATCAAGGAAAGCAGGGATTTTAAAAGATTTTATTCTTCAGCAAAACAAGAAAATTTTATGTTCATTAATACATATTTTATGTTTTACAAGTTGTATTATTGAAAAATTAAGAAGTTTTTAAAACAAAAATATAAATATGTTATGATATTGTATAGATTTATATTAAGGGGTCGTTTATCAAACACTTATCCGGTAAGCGTTTACCGGTAAATTTAACACTATCATTTATCTACCAGATAAGATTTTAGTCCACCAAAACGGTATCGTATGCAACAATTTACCCGGTAAGCGTTTACCATGGTAAGAGGGTCCTTGTTTCGCTCTTACTGGGTAAGATTTTTTATCCTTACCATATTCATCCAGTAATATAAAATGACTTGATGTTAACTTACCCAAGTAAGCGTTTGGTAAATGGTCCCTAAATCTTCTCTGCCCAACATACTAAATTTGCTTACAAATAATGTCTATAATGAAATTTACCATTACCTCTCTCTCTCTCTCTCTCTCACACACACACACACATATATATATATATAGGGACCTAATCAAATGAGAACTAATTAGTTTGTGGTAACTGTGAGAACCAATATTAACCACAAATCAATAGATAAATTAGGAAATTTATAATTTTGGCAATTTTGAATTAAAATATTAATGCAARGATATTTTTGGTATTTTRAAACTTTCCTCCCTCCTCTTTTCTCTCTCCGGCCACCGTCCTCCGGTGATACTACAATGGTATCACAATGCATCATATATGTGATTGAGTATCACATTGATGTCGTTTGTGTGGTCGATCGAAAATGTAACACAGTAGTATCATTATGCATCTTATATATGATTAGGTATCGCAATATATCTTTTGTTTAACAGAGTCAATATTTTTAAGTATCACAGTGGTATCATAGTGGTATCACCGAAGGACGGTGGCCAGAGGCTGGAGAACGATGGCCGCAGAGAGGAGAGAGGAGAGTTTTAAAATACCAAAAATATCCTTGCATTAAGATTTTAATTTAAAATTACCAAATTTATAAATTTTCTAATTTATCTATTGATTTGTGGTTAATATTGGTTCTCACAGTTACCACAAACAACTCAGTTCTCCCTTAAATAGGCCCCTATATATATACTTCTTTTAAGAACTTGCTAATTTATAAAATTTGTAAGATCCAATTTAAATCATAAAAATTAGTTGAAAAATAAAAAATATATAATCAAAAATATTTCTCCCTCTCCTACCTTCTATTTTTCTCTTCTCTCTCTTATTTCTTCTCTCCATGACAGACACGTACACATAATTGAATATGAACTCAAAGTGAACACATTCTTATAAATATTATTATAGTTTGTAGACACATGGTGAACACATTCTTAGAATTACTATTATAATTTGTAAACACATTCTTATAAATGTTATTATAGTTTTTGAACACATTATAAATCTACAAGATCTTGTATAACTTGTAAACATATTATGAACACAAACTCAATCAATAAAACTAAATCTAAACATACTACTTATGAGCACCCTAGTAAATTTTTTTATTAAAAATGTTTGCATTGTGTTCACAATGTATTCACCTTGTATCCACGATGTGTTTGTTAAGATGGAGATAAGGAAGAAAAGAGAAGACATGGAAACAGAAAAAAGAATATAATTATCTTAAATTAGTGACTTAAAATGAATGTCACTGATCTTACATATCTTGTAGTTCTCAAATGATTTAACCATATAACATTTTCTTTGGTATAAAAGTTATTAAAATAACTAATGATAAATTATACTTTAATTAAAAATTATATAATGTAGAAAATGATGTTAATAGTTGAAAACTAAACAGCCTTTTATCAAGCAAGAGACTTGATCTATTATAAATATATAAAAAAAACATATTTCAAGCTTCAGTTAGTAACTATATATATATATATATATATATATATATATATATATATTAAGCAGTTGTTATCAAACGTTTATTAGGTAGGTGTTTACTGACAAGAGAAAATCTTCATTTACATTATCATTTGACATTTTTAGTCATTAAAATAGATTGATGGTAAGCGTCTCCATAATCGTTTACTGGGTAATAGTCTTTTCTCTGATTTATCTTGTAAGACTCTCGGTCCTTGTTATACACGCATCTTGTAAGGTAAGATTATAGGTCCTTATAATGCTCAATTGGTAAGATGAATGATATCAGTGGGTGAACACTTAGTAAATGGCCCCTTTCAATCAGGTGGCCTACCTTTAAACAACACCTCTCGCCACACCAACCAAATTCCAACTTGACAGGTGTTGTTTTTTTGACCTTTTAAAACTATCTTTTAACTGAATTTACTTGATCAAAATGTTGTATTTAAAAAACATATACACCTTATATCAAATCCGTTGGAGGATGATAGATCGCATTTGCCATCATCTATTTGGCTCTGTTACTATTTATTCCTCTTCTTGCAGTATTATTGAACATATTATGTTTACTATTTAACCTCGATTATGCAATAATTCCTTTTGGATATGACTCGAGCCAATAGCTTAAAGTAATAAGCTTTCTAAATGTATTAAGTAATAGAAAAGGTCAAATCGTTAAAGGACCAACAAAAACATAAAGTTAAAATCACTTCGTTTTTACTAAATGCATATATCAAAATCTTTAAATCATTTAACAGTAAATGTACAACCAGCATTAATATATTATAAGGGTATTCGCGCAATGCAGCGAGATACATATTCATTTTAATGTTTCGTCTATTTTTTGTTTCTATTGATATGATACGGTTTATGTGGTTTTGAGAAAAATAATTTTTTCCTTTTGAATAAAAATAAATTTGAAGATATTATAAAATTTTGAAAAATATACCGATATTAATATCAAATTATTATTTAAAAGTTCTCGTTTTTTTTACAATTTATTTAATGCAATTTTTTTTATTATAATTTAATTTTGGTCTAATAACGAAGTAATTTATTTTTGACTTAACAATATAATTTTTATAAAAATAATGATTATGTTGGAACTCAATGATTATTCTAATTATATCTTAGATTTTTATATTTAAAATGAGATGTTTATCATGTACTTCATTATGTTTATCTGCAATTAGTTATATGAATTCAATAATTGAGCTTTAATAAGTTGTAATTATGCATAATTTACTTGTAATATTAAATTTTAAGTCATATGTATTAATAAACAGTACTTCATGCATAAATGAATGAGTTTTTAAGAGTTTTTGTCAAATCTTTATAATATAGTATATATATTGAAAATACGTATCTGATTGTTTTTTCCGTCTCGCCTACACCCAAATGAGGCTTGCTTTTAACTTTTTTTGTAGATTATATACAACTTTCGGAATATTTTACCCGTATTGTAACAAATAGTTGCTTAAGGCGACTATTATTTAAAACGTCCATTTTGAAGACATATTTCAAACCACATTATTATGAGATGATTCATGATCATTCTGATCATCAATTCCTCATTATTACTTAACGTTTAAAAGTTTTCTTTGTCAACAGATAACACCATAACTACATTTTGTTGAACATCAATCTCATGTGTTGTAGTGTAAAATCGTAAATCATAAGTGACATCATGTAATGCTTATACACCTTTGAATAATTGTCCAACTTTGATTTGAAACATCGTTTTATGATATACGAATAAATCATCATTTGAAACCTGTTCGAAATAGTGTAATTTTGCCATTTATTTAATGATATTTTACGTCATAGATAATTTCATCAAGGTAAAGTAAATGACATCCGATAAACAACTTGTCACTTGATTTCGTATTCACTGACTGAGTTAACATTATCCGTATACGTCGATAAACGAATAAAAAATGCTTAAATATCTCATTGTATGTTAAAAATATATAAATATTTTGGTGATGTGACAACCCAATTTTAAGATTGAAATGATTATGGAATAAAAGGTTCTGCAAGTCAGGTTATTCCCTTCAACATGTTACCCTTTTTGGAATTATAAGCATAATAAACATCAGTAAAGAGCAAATCAAATGCCAAGTATAGAGAGGAACAGAAGGAATAAAGAAGAGTAAAGAGATGCATATCAGATTAAAGTTAACAAAACATAAAATTAAAATTAAAAATAATTTGACTGGCAAAAGTGAAAAAAAGGCTGCTACTAGTAAAACTAAAGCTTAGAACAAAAAAGAAAAAGGCAAAAAAAAAAAAAAACGGAGATCTCATACACCTTCTCTCTAACGTAAAGAATTTTGAACAAGAAAAAGCCCGTCCCCACATATCCACGTCATCATGGGTGGGACTGCACCACACGCCACGTCACAATTAATTTTCAATTATATAATTTCTTTTTTCTTTTTTTGAAAAATTTCATCTAGTAAAGTCATGGACGAGTCCTGGTCTGTCAGTCACGTTAAGCCGCCACGAGAGAAACGGAGAATCTCTGTCGTCCACGTCATCCATGAACCTGTACTCATTCGCCGCCGCCGCCGGCGAGTAACACGATGGCATTTTGTGGTTGGGTTGTGAGTGATGATTCACCCATTGGTTCCCGTTCATCATGTATTGGTGGTGGTGATATCCCTCCGTCGCATCGCTACCACCGCTTGTAACCACCGCCGCTGCTGCCGCGTTTGCCCGTCTCTCCTCCTTCTTGAATCTGATCCCACATGCATTGCACAATGACTGCAATTTCCAATTCCAATTCCAATTCAAACATTAAATACAAATCATCAAATTGTTTTAATTTTCATAAGCATTATTTGACAATACATGTGAGAATTGGGATCATTTGAGATTATGTTGTTTTCGTTCTACCATCTTTTTACACTTCAAATTTCACAACAAAATACAACGTAACTTCACAATGTCTTTACTGTGAAATTTCGTATATTTTTTTACCTTGAAGTGTAAAAATTTGGTTTTATGCATCTCACGAAAACAGATTGATATGATATGAACCCAACTCTGTATATGTATATGTATATGTATATATATAAACACACCTTAGGGCCACGAGGTCCATTCCTCCAAAGTGGAGTAGAAGTGGTATCACAGTTAGCACACCGTCGTGAAAAGAGGCTGTCAGCGGTGGCAGAACCATTCCCACCACCACGATTGGCTTTATGGGTAGACTGCGGCGCGGGTGATTTGCTAGACGATTGCAAAATGTTCCACCAACTAGACCTTTGATCATGGGGGTGGGTCTTTTCATAGTCATTAGTGAGTCGAGTGGAAGGTGTACCCAAAGACAAAGTGCAATCCACAGAAGAAGGAGATACATATTCTTCCTGTTCATAAGGCATCGAGAAAATGGTGGAGAATGAGTTGGGGGGTTGGTAATGGTAGAGACCACATGAACATGGACCCATCATGTTGGAACCATTGCATCTATTCATGATGTGTTGGAGTATGTATGAGTAATTGATAAGATGATGAAATAAGGGTCAAAGGGAACGGGGGTTGGCAGTGTATCTGAAGACTTTTGTGGGGTCGATCAAGAAATGGAAGTATTTGAGAGTGAGATGGGAACTGAAGGAATGCAATGAGAACAGAAGTGGGGGTTTTGGGGGGTTTATATAGGTATACACCAGTGGGTCCAAGTGGAAGTGAATATTCCACATATGCATTTTGTCGTTTTGTCTACTTCCTCGTAACAATGAACACGCAAATTAAATCATTTACTTTTATATATGAAAGTATAAATTAAATCCATATATATTGTATTTATACTTACAGATTGTTTGTTTAGCTCTTAATAATTTCATTAAGAGGCAACATTTGAATCGTTAAGAGATGAATCTTGTTTGACAAAAAAAAAGTGTACCTCTTAATGGTTTTTAAAACCATCTGAATGATTTTGTATCATGGATCTCCCTTACCCATTAAGACCCATAATTTATTGTACACAATTACAAAATAATTATATTTCATTTTGCACTATATTATGAGAGCCTATTAATCATTATGAACACTTAATTATTCTGCACCAAATCATTCAGCAATTGTCAATCTGAATATGTGAACTAATCTATCTATATGAATTAAAAAGTTTTTGTTTGAAAGAGTTTTTTCTTAGATGGAAAGAGCGTAACTTTTAATTAAGAGGGACAAGTTTAAAAAAAAAAAACTTACTGAATAAATTATTTTCAAAATACAATTAAGTGACTACCAAACAATCATATATAATTGACTAAATAAGTTATAAGTCTCGTTAAATTTATTAAGCTGCTAATAAAATCAATTATTTTTTCTTACTTAAAAGATAGGGTATTAAGGATATATATGGATATTGAAATGATATATATACTAAATTATAAAGTATTTGACAAAAACTATTAAAAATTATTTTTTATGCATGAAGTACTGTTTATTAATGCATATTACTTAAAATTTAAGATTACAAGTAAATTGTGCGTAAGTACAACTTATTAAAACTTCATTTTTGAATTTGTATAACTAACTGCAGATAAACATAATCAAATTCCATATATTTATCTTATTTTAAATATAAATTTTTTAAAATATAATTAGGATAATCATTGAGTTCTAACAGAATTCTTAATTATTATTCTTATAAAAAATCATATTATTAAATTAAAAATAAATTACTTTGTTACTAAATCTAAACTAAATTATAATAAAGAAAAATTAAATTAAGGAAATTACACAAAATACAATAACTTTTAAATAGTTAATTTGATACTAATTTTGATATATTTATTTTCGAAATTTTATGATATCTTTAAATTTGTATTTTATTCAAAAATAAAAACATTATCCCTTTCTCAAAATCGTATAAAAACCGTATAACGTCTTCAGAGAAATAATAAAACGAAACACTAAAATCAAGATACATCTCGCTGCATTGCACGAATATCTTTCTAGTTTATTTTAAAGATTAATGTTTATTCAGATTAATAAGCATTTATAATAATTAAGAATGCATAAAAAAATAAATATATTTAGAAAAAGTAATTTAAAATAATAAGAAAAAAATAAAGAGAGATTTAAAATGGTATGAATGAGAGAGGGTTTTAAGGGGATGGTTTGTGTGTTTTTTGGGGTGGTCAAAAGAAGCCACGTGACCAGGGGAACAGTCTTCCATGGATCTACCCTTCTCCGATCACGAGGCAGAGGCTTTTTACACAATTACCATCCTACCCTTGTTCCCAACTCTAATTTTCTAAATCTAGTCCCTCATAAGTTGATAGACCATAAAACCACCCTTGATAATTACTATGGCATCTCTATTATAAATATCTTTTTTCTTTTTATCATTTTTTTATAAATATAAAACTCCTCGGTCAATAATTCTTAGAAAATAAAAATTAAATATATAGAAAAAGAATTAAGGTTCTTATCTTCTTAAGAACATTTTTTAAAGTTTTTTTTAAAATAGAGAACCAAAAGTTAAAATCTTTAACAGATTCTTTATTTTTGAAGTTTCTTATTGGTAGTCTCACTTGGTAATTTTTTTTGGGGTATTTTTATATTTGGAGAAAAAACTTTTTTCTCTCATACTTTCTTCATTTTGGAGATAGTTTTGACGAAACTCTTGGAGTAAAATATTGACTCAAAATTCTCATTTCTTCATTTTTAAAGAAGATGTTAGAGATGCTTTAAAGATGTTAGATTCATATAAAAACTCTCTCCAACTATAGAATAGTTCTAACAAGAACCTACTTTCTTTTTACTTATGAAACCCTCCCATTAGGAATGCTTTTATTTTCAAGTTCTCTCTTTTCATTTAAATTCAAAAACATGTACACATCTTTAAAGTCATTATTAGTTCACATTTGATATTAAATTCATATAAACCAAATGAATTAAAAGTGAATGGTTGGGTTGAAATAGGTAGGTGGTACCTGATAGAATTAGAAGCGAATAGGAATAGGAATAGGAATAGGAATAGGAAGAGTGAGGTTGAGCCAAGGGTTAAGTAGTAGAGCCGTGCAGTCACGTGAGGAGGAAACAAAATGGTTAGGTTAGGTTGGGGTTAAGGGGGGTCCAGGCCAGGGTGGTCAGTGGGTCACACTCAAAAAAGAAAAAGAGGGAATCCAGAGATTTTGTGATGATTATATGTAAGAGAGAGAATGAGAGAAAGGCATGATAGAAACGGTAGATACTACTGCAATCATCAAAGCAACCTATTCTCCTCTGGGTTTTCGACAAAATCTTTGACCCATATTATTATTATAAAAATTCAATAAAAAGCATAATAATTACTCATCCTCCTCCATCTCTCTCTCTTTCTATACACACACAATACATACAAATGTATCTCCATATATATATATTATGTATACAGAGGTTCTCAAATTTTTTATGGTTCTCAAATAAACAGTCTTCTCGTTTATCATTACAATTTTTAAAACCATATATATATATATATAATTGGAAGCACATTATTTAATATATGGATGATGATGATGATGATGATGTATGTATGTATTGAGTCAAACATGGAGATAGAGTGGTCAAAAAGACCAAGTTGTATTGCTTGGGGTGTAATCCAGGGACAAAAATAGGGGCAGGAACATGTTAGAAAACAAACAAAAGTGGGGCCAGAATGACAGGCACAGTCATAGTCCCCATCCCCATCCCCATTTCCCCAAAGAACAAACACAACTCCTTTGGAATATTAATCGAATCGACAAAAAGATTCAAACAAAACATCAAAACACACTGGGAGAGTAAGAGAATCAGATCGTCTTGATATTTGCGATTCTACCTTCATTAGTTTATCCTCTCTCTTTTTTCTTTTTATTTTTCATTTTTATTTTCTATATTACATCTAGTTATTCACATAACAAATCCAACCATAATTTATGTGGAAATTCAGATATCAACATTCTTATTTTACGAAAACATAAGAACTTCCTTAAAACATTTTCAATAAAAAGTTCTTATAAGAATCTATTTTGTGTTTCTTTTATTGTCACATCACTTTCAACTCATCAAATTAAGAACTCATATATAAATGATCGTTCTTATAACAACTCTTTTTGTGACTGCATGTATTTTTTTCAACCTTAGTAATTGTTATATATTTATTAATGAATATATAAATAATACTAGCATATTGTCATTTCACACCAATTTTAAGCTAATAACCAAGGTTCTTGTACAAAAACTAAAAGGATGTAAGGGTCTTATAATATCAATTTGTACAATGCTAGTTTTTATAAGAAGATATAGTTTTTGCTTATAATCACATTGTATATAGTACACTATAATATCGCAAGTGATTGACTACTAGTAAAAAGGTGTTCTCGTATTTTCATAAAATAAATGTATTTTTGTTTGAACTCTTCTATCTTTTTCACTGTTTATACATATATATATATATAGGGTTGGATTCACGTGAGACCATGTTGTTTTCGTGAGACCCGTGAGACCACATTTTTACACTTGAAACTTCACAGCAAAAACACTGTGAAGGTTTAAAAAAGCCGAACCTTCACAGCAAAAACACTGTGAAGGTTACCTTCACAATATTTTGCTGTGAAGTTTCAAGTGTAAAAAGCTGGTCTCACGTGATCTCATGTATATATATGTGTGTGTGTGTGTTCGAGAGAGAGAGAGAGAGAGAGAGAGAGATGCATGTTCGATTTTAGTAGTATATATATATATATATTCTAATGAAAATAGTTATTTAATTATGTTTATGGTTATGAAACAAAAATATGTAAAAATATGATGGTTAATTTGTGTAGATATTTGTTTTGTGAATTGTGAATTTAGTAAAAGAAAATGAAAGAGTGATTTATATTAGAAAAAGGAAATGAGGAATGATAATAGTAAGTTTGAAATGGTCCAAGTTGGAAAGTAGGTTGCATGCATGCAAATACGATATGAAGAGGGCACGTGGATAAAAGGTATTTGGGGTTAATAAATGCATGTATTTGATGATTAGCGCATGCAATCTTTCGTAATTTGTTCCCAGCCGCAACATGGGTCCTACTATATCCAACTCACCTTCATCATTCATTTCATACATGGGACGACCATCTGTCAATTCCAACACCTTCACATTATATATTATATATAATCTTACAAAACATTTCCGTTAAAAATAAAGAAAACGAAAACAAAGAATTTCGTTCGTTCGTTCGACCATACCGTGACTTATTTTACTTAATTTGTAACTCTTTTTTGTCGTCTTATTCAATATGATTCATATATCTCTCGTTTTAAATTAAATAAGTATTATATTTAGAAGATGTTAGTAAAATATAAATGTGGAGAGAAGCATTCTCGTATGGATAAGAGTTTTGAAGTACTAAAAAACATAATCCTCAAAAGCACAAACTGTGTAACTTAAATTAATGAATCCATGTTTATTTTCAATTATCCTTCTCTCTCTAGAAACAAAACCTAATAAGAGAAAATGATT